GAGATGGAAGCAGAGAGGTAACAGACAGAGAGGATGGAAGATCCTGAGCTGCTGGCTTTGAAATATTACACATTTTATTAAGAAACATTTACACAGAATGCACAGTGTTTTGGTAAGTGTGTGCAGTGGGAAGGGGCTGTTCTCATCTCCATAGGACAAAGGAGAAAATGAGTCACAGTTGTATGCACAGCAAGGGCTCGCTGGTGCATATGAGCCAAGGAGGATACGGTCCTTGTTATTAAATTCTCTTCCATTTCACTACATTAACATTTATCCACTGAGATTTTATGTTTTGTTAATTTTTGTTTCATTCCCCTCAAGGGCTTCTGTATACTTAGAATTTCTTTTTCCAGATACAATGTCACATTTTAATATTGAGAGATAATAATAGATGGCTGTGTTGATTTGTTTTACATGTTTTACCATAATATACAGGACAGACTGATGGTCATAGTGTGGCCAAGAAACAACTTCACCTCCTAAGGCAAGATGGGAATGGAACGGCTTTTGACCAGGCTAGTAAGTCCTGCCTTATCTACAGTACCCCCCCGCCTCCTTTTTATCTGTCTCTTGTACATACTGACCATGGTGACTAGACAATTCTACTTTTTCAGAAGAGCATAGCTGAACTCAGAGTGGGAGATTCTTAACTACCATTGTTTCCAGGACTTCAACACTGCCTTGAACTGAATACTGGTTTAGTAAGTTCAACAAATCTTTGAATTTTGCTTCCAATTGAAGATTGACTGTGGAAAGGCTGTCTCTGGTGTGATTCACTCCTGTGGAGCTGCTGGTCCTCACAGACTGGGGAGCATCTTTCTGGGCCCTGAGAGGCTCTCACAGGCTGCACTTAGGGGACAGGTGTGTTCCAGGGTGTCTTTTTTTTACACTTATGATCGGGGAATGAGGCAGAGTTTGTAGTGTGGTGGAATGTTGCCAAAGCCAACTGTGATGGGCTTAAGGTCGATATCCTTTGGCTCAACAAGAGACTTCAGATTAAAATGCTGTAGAATGGCAGTCAAAAGCAGAAACACTTCCATGCGGGCCAGGCCTTCTCCAACACACACCCGTTTTCCTAGAAGTAACAACAGCATTGATGAGACAGAGTCTCAGAGAGACAATGTTCTTAACAGTGAGCTTGCAAGGAGAGGGGTAGGAGGAGGCTGTGGGTAAACTCTGTCCTAAACCAGGATTTACTCTCTTCACCTAGGAGGAAATACAAAGCATATTAATGAACAAGAATATTAATGACATTGGTTTATTCAGAGGCCAGCTCTTACATGCCATCAGTCATCCAGGATGCAGATACAAAAACTTGGAAGTAAGGAAAATGGTCTCTGCCCAGTAAAGAATATGCTACCCAATGCTTACTCACAATGCCCTACAGGAAGGAAGTAAGGCCAAGTTAGCAATCAAAGCATGAAAGTTAGCTTGAAATCAAGCTGCTTGTAGGGGAGGCCCTGGGAAGGAGCCAAGGGCTTTAGAAGGGCCACTGAGTCACATCCCAGGATAGCTTTCATGTTTCCTATGATGAGTTCAGGTGACCAAAGGTCAGAGTCTGTTTCATAACCCTTGTTTAAAGTTATGGAAGATTAGATAATATGGTATCTGTTTGTTTTTGCAGTACTGGGGATTGAGCTTAGTGCCTGACTCCCTTTTTCTAATTTTTACTTTGAGACAGGGTCTTATTTACTAAATTAGAGGCTAGCTTTGATCTTGCAATCCTCCTGCTTCAGCCTCCTCCAGTAACATGGTTTTGAGAGACTTTCACTAAGCCCTGTTAAAGCACAAACAGAGTTTAACAATGAAGGAGACAAAATATCCCTCTGAAAAAGTAATACATCTACAACACCTCATCTTCAAGATGTCTGGTAAAAATGTCATTTAACTTCTCTGAATAAGAAGGAGCACAGTTGAGTCATATTTTAAATAGAAACAAGGAATGTGATGGTTCTGGGACATTTGTACCTGCCTGATCACGTATGGAGTAGAGATGAGGAGCAGAGGAGAGATTGGCTAGGCAAAGTGTTGTCTCTGAACCCTGCTTACCTGCAGAAAATGCCTTGAAGTAGTCACTGTACTTGAACTTGCCACTTTCATTTAGAAAGTGCTCTGGTTTGAACTTCTCTGGATCTGGGAATTCTTGGTCATCATACAAAACGGAGTCCAGAGTTGGAATGACAACTGTGCCCTGAGGGAAGCATAGGTGTATCCATCAGTCAAGTTAACAAAACATGATCTCTCCTGGGAACCCCAGAGAAGAAGGCTGTTTGAATTTTATGTTGCACAAGCTAGTATCTTTCCAGTTGGAGAACTTGTTTAGGTAGTGACTAAATAGAAAGCAGTCAGAGGGCAGGTCTAAATGGAAGAAAACCCCTAAACTTTTCACAGGATGGACTCCAGGACTGGTTGCTGCAGCTGTTTTTTGCTGGTGTTGGAATTTCTACAAATCCCAGGTGTCACTAGAGGAGGCATTTTCCCAGAGTTCCTCCATCTTTTTGGTCCTAGGTCCATGCTAGGACTGCTGGGGAAGCAGCACTCTGCAGGGTGAGGAGCTGATCTAGCCTAGGCCAACTGATATGGAACAGAGTCTGTGGACCCCCGTCGTGCTTCTGGTAGAGGAAGTGATGTGCTGACAGGATGGTGCTCATGGTGTGTGTTCCAGCTCATGTCTGACCTTAGGGATGAGGTATCCTTGGAACATGGTGTCTCGGGTTGCTTCATGGGGCAGGTTGGAGGGCACTAGGTTGATGAATCGCTGAATCTCATGTACTACAGCATCCATGTAGGGCATTTCTAACCTGTCTTTGACAGCAGGTATGCGTGTTGGCCCAATCACCCTGTCAATTTCTTCATGAAGTTTCTCTGCCAAGATATAAGAAATATAAAGAAATCAATTGGAATATAAAGATATATAAAATTAATTTGAAGGGTTGACTCCAGGCTGGACATTCACCTATCATCCACCCATTTATCTAATTACCCTTCCAGCTATCCACCCACACCTATGCACCTGCCCACCTATCTTGCCACCCATCTACTACTTATTCATTCACCTATCTACCATTCATCTAACCATCCATCCCTCCATCCAACAATCCTTCCAACTTCACATCTATCTAATCACTCTTCCATCTATTCATCAAACTCACCCAGTGGATGTTTATGGAGCATACTAAACAGTGCTTAAGATACCCTAGGCCCTTTGAATTATTGAATAAATTACCAACGATTGGTAATAAGAAATAAATTCTATGAGGTTATTTATAGTTTACAGAAAGTTTTGGTATCCATTATCCTAGCTGCTGATGCTTTATCCATCTCTCTTCATGTCAGGAGATGAGAATAAGAAAAGAGTCTTAGGAATTTTTTCTTGGAGAGAAATCTTTGCATTAATGATTGCCCTGGACTGGTTTATTGTATATTTCTGAAGAATATGAAGGGAAATGGTAGGAGCAATTGGAATATTACTTTGATTAGTATAAATAAGTTACTTAGCAGAATGCAGACCCACTGTCTCTCTCCACCTTAGTTTAGGTCATTCTTTTCTGTATCCAGTAGCCCTGGTAGGGCATGAATTGACCAGTGTTCAAGGGTACCAGGTTCCTTGCACTTACAAGGACTTCTGCCATCAAAGCAATTCATCCAGCAATCCCACAGCACCCAAGGTTAACAAGCAGCTACAGACTGGAGCCTAATGTGCACAAGGCTGGCCATGCTGTGAGATTTAACTGTGTTGCCTGAATATCTTGCTTTTCATTTATGTACCTTCAACTTCTGGGTACTTCATGAGAATCAGAAGCCCATATCTCAAAGTGGTGCTGGTAGTCTCTGTTCCCGCAAAGAACAAGTCAGCCAAAGTCACAGAAATGTTTTCCATTGTGTACATAGAAAGCTCCCCACTCTGATTTTCCTTTGAAAACACAGGAGACAGAGAGGTACCTGGTGAGAGGATGTCTTTGGATGGCTGGGAAAGGGGCACCTGCTGCCCTTCATGAGGGAGGAGCCAGGGTTTAAGAGACAGTGCAACCAGGACTCAAGCATCTCTACCTCACAACTGGGAAAACAGGCTCCCAGGAAATAGGCTGGGGCAAGCAGAAATCTTTATCTAGGCCACCGGACTCTGTCTTTGCCAAGAGTGCCAGAGCAATCCTTCTGCCCTGAGGCTGGTACCTTTGGACCATGTGGCAAGGGTAGACAGGAAGGGACTAAACTGATGGCTGGATTTTCAGACAGTCTGGGGAGTTATCCAGGGGAAATAGGCATGGAATTCATATGTTGTTTTCAGGTCATAGGAAAGGAAGTAGAGGCCTCACCAATTTGAGTCAGAGGAAAGATTCTAGGGGCTGGTGGGAGATGAAGACAGGGAGGCTTGGGAGTGCCTGAAAACCAGACACAATTGGGGAATAAGTATAAACAAAGAATACTGAGGTCTTCTTAGACAATATGTGATAGTCAAAGGAGTACAACCCAGCCTGGCCTGGAGGGAGCTGAGATGAGGGCCCCATGGCCAGCCCACTCACCCTTGTGCCTCCATGTATGAAGAATGGAGTGGGGCGATCATGCTTAAGCCTAGTGTGTTTGTATAAAACTATAGTAGTTAGTTATAGTTAAAACTATATAGTTATATATATATATATAGTGTTAAAACTATAGTGGGTAGTTTGGACACCAGCAAGTGGGTCTCACATCAGTGTGAGAAGTCTATGCACCCAATTCCATCCTAGCAAGCCCATTTCATGTGGTGGATTGTGGGTACCTTCTCCATTTCTGCAAGCAGGCAGTCAGTGACATCCCGGGGGCAATTGGGGTCCAGTGACTGAAGGTGTTCTTTAGCTCTTTCTAATGCATAAGCTTTTATTTCAGACAGATTTTTCATTACTTTTCTGTGGCTTCCAGGCATGTAGCATAGGTAGTCTGAAAAATAATTGTAAAAATGTAGAGAGAGGGAATTATATTACTATTTTTTTCTGGCTGCAGCATAATTTTTATGTGCTGAAATAATAACCTCAAAACCTGAATGTATGGCTTCCATTATTGTATTATTTGGAATATTTGGAGCTAAAACTATCTTCTGGAGGCAATTCTTTTTTTTTTTTT